TCAAAATGTATAGTATTTACTGTATATTTTCCTATTATTGCATCCAAAATCTAAAAATAAAAAGTAACAATTCAACTTCTAATTAATATTTCTAAAATCTTCCGCTTCAGAGCATGCATCAGATTATATGAAACATGTATAGAAAGCATCATTTAATTTTATAGATAAAATTTTGAGTTATGGCTGTTACTATTGGCAATATTTACAGAAAAAACATTTTTCAGAAAACAAGTTTAAAGTTTTCATAAAACAATTTCTTAGTGAAAGAAGCATCTCTGATAATTAAAATTCGCCTGCTTTGTTAGTGACACCTTACTTTTTCTTCACACACTTTGCACTTTTTCTTTTGAACAAAACGTAAATTTTTATTTGGGTTTTTGTAAAACTTGTGGAATGCCGCCAAGAGTCATGATTTTGCACTTTATCAAGTTTTCGAATTCCCTGCTCAGTGTAAAATTCAGGATACATACACCTATCCTTGAAAATGCTTCAAGTAAATCATCCATTAAATAACATTAAATAACACAACCCTTACATTTGCTCCAAACATTAATGTTCGCAAGTTTCTGAATGTTTCTTTCGGAACAATTTGCAATAAAATGCCATTAATACGTTCCCTGATATTTTGAGTTTTGCCATGTATGCACTTTATAATAACTCTTGTTTATGTAATCAACTCCATATATGCAGGTTTAATCAAAATATATGTTGATATACCAGAGGTTTTAGCCTGATTTTTTTTTCTTCCTGATTTTTTCCTGATTTCTGCAATCGCACATTCGAACTCATTGATTGAGAGCATTGGCTTCGAAGAAGAACTACAATGGAACAAGCAGCTAGTACAACCTTCTGCATCTCAATTAAATTTTCACATTACTTCTAATTGCACTCCCTAATTCTGCAGTTTATCAATAAAAGAATCAGCCAGTTTAGCTTTTCCTTTCAATTCAGGAGCGGAGTTTTTTACTTTTCGTAGTCTACTACCAACCCTTTTCTACACATGTCCAATGCATTCCAGTTTCTTGACCGAATCTTTACCATATAAATCTTTCACAGTTAAAAACCCCTTAGAATCCCCATCCTCATAATACTCCGTGTACTTCAGCTTTCGTAATGTAATAAGTCATTCAAAAAGCGCATAAGCACCAACTGCTTCCATACCCGAGGCTGCTTTTTTATAATTTGCAGAACAATTATGTTACACTTTACATATGTCGTGCTGAAGATAGCATTCCATTCTGTTTATTTTGCTGCAAATGGTGCAAAAATGTGACATAGCTTTCAAATTAAGCACTTTGTCAACGCTAATCGACAAAGCAGCAACACATCCATTCAACGTCGAATACCCTCTGCGCCAAACTAAATACGAAATTAAGGGAAAAAAACTATCGCCAGATTCTTAAAATGAATTACAAAATATCTAAGCTTAGTACGAAGGTTTATAATTTACAAAATTTTGATAATAAATAAGGTTTCTTAATAGGTATATCTATTTAAACTCTCACTTCCGGCCTAGAATATTGGAACTTCGGGTTTATTTTCTTACAGAAAAATGCTTATAACTTCAGTTCTAATTAACCAATCAACAAGCAGACACTTGTATTTGATAGCCAAAGATGTATTCTTTAAGATAATGTAATAAAGTAAAAATCGAAATTTTGACCGAAAATCGTCTTTTGTACGAGGTCGGATACCTTAAGTGCGAAGAACATGATAATTAATAAATAAAAGTTACACACAAAATGTTAAAAAAACACCCCTTTGGACGAATTTAAAATCTGAAAACTTTCAGATTCATATATATAGATATACGAGGCACGTTCAGAAAGTAAGTTCCGTTTCAATTTATCTCCGCTGCAGCTCTGCGATCGCATTTCCGCACATGCGCAGTAGACGCTCTGTATCAAGGAGAAGAAACGCGCGCCATTTGGAGATCGCTGTCCGTCACGTACGCTTTGTTGTGCTTGTTTACAATGTCGGTGTTGATTGAAAATCCCGCCGCTTGTGAAATCAGATCTGTGATTCGTTTTCTGAATGCGAGGAAAGTGAAACCCAGTGAAATTTATCGGCAAATTTGCGATGTTTACGGACCAAAAGCGATGAGTGATTCAATGGTGAGAAGATGGGTTCGAAAGTTCAATGACGGACGTAGTGATGTGCACGATGAAGAACGAAGTGGGCGTCCATCTTTGCTTACAGAAGAACTGGTTCACTCGATTGATGACAAGATCCATGAAAACCGAAGGTTTACAATTAGTGTTCTCGCTATGGAATTTCCCCAAATTTCACGATCACTAATGCATGAAATTGTTACCGAAAAACTGAAATTTCGTAAACTTTGCTCACGTTGGGTACCAAAGATTCTTACTGAGCAACACAAAACAAAACGGATGGGTAGTGCACTTCCGTTTTTGACCCGTTATGCTGAAAGCGGCGAAGAATTTCTGACACAAATGATGTGCACAGTGTTCTGGAACTGGAAAGGCATCTTGCTCGTTGATTTCTTACCGCGTGGTCAAACAATCAGAGCAGATGCTTATTGCGAGACACTTCGGAAATTGCGCCGCGCAATACAGAATAAGCGCCGAGGATTGCTGTCAAAAGGTGTTGTTTTTCTTCGCGACAACGCACGACAACACACTGCAAATGTGACGAAAAACCTTCTACAGGGATTTGGCTGGAACGTGTTTGACCATCCTCCGTACAGCCCTGACCTCGCTCCTAGCGACTTTCATCTGTTCTTACATCTTAAGTCTTTCCTTGGCGGTCAACACTTCAACAATGACAACGAGCTGAAAGAAACTGTTTCCAACTGGTTGAAGACACAGGCGGCAAATTTCTATGAAGAAGGTATACAAAAACTTGTGCCACGCTATGACAAATGCCTGCAATATTTCGGCAGTTATGTGGAAAAGTTGTTCAATTTTGTGCAATAAATAACTTTTCTGTAGCTGTACACAATTTACTTTTATTACCAAACGGAACTTACTTTCTGGACGTACATTGTATATTCTGATTCAGTAAGCAGTTTTTAGCGCGGCCGTTATACTTTATTAGTTCGTAGCGTGTGCCATCTTTTAATGAGATGCTACACTAATCTTTTTGCGTACTATGAAAAGTAAGCGGATTCGGCAGAACGTAGCTTTATGACAGAGAATTTGTACCTTAAAAATAGCTTTTCACAATCTACATAAAATACAAAATGGGAAAAAAAATGCGTGACTTAATAGCAGATATTGTGATAGTATTTGGGAGTATTTTTTTTCATCCAATATGTAATTTAATTTTATGTAGTATAGAATATATAAAGATGGTACAATAAAAAGCAAAACGTCCTAGCCGACATTTTTATGCGCGTTTAAAATTACTGACATTCATAAATATTTTTCTCAGAAACGATAACAAGAAGAGGAAAAGAAAATCTGAAAGGTTTCAGGTTTTAAATTACGTCCAAAGAGGCGTTTTTTTAACATTTTGTGTTTTACCTTTATTTATTAAATATCATGTTCTTCGCACTTAAACCATAAAATTTAGTTAAATAGCAATATAGCAAAATAATTTTAAATCGAGCATGTCTTTAGAATTTCCGATACACATTCTCACGCGCTGAAGATTTTTTTTTTTTTTTTTTGTGTGTGTTTGTGTGTGTGTGTGTACAGCGTTGCCATTGCTAGCTATGAAATCCTTGAGTTTGTTAATCAAAAATGCGTTAAAGTTTTACAAAATATGAAATCGATAATAAAACAAATTCCAAATTTCGACTTCCGGATGCTCCTATTCGCAGTAGGATTACGACATTCAAAATTTGAGGGCTCTAGGTACCGTTGTTTTATCACATTGCGAGAAACATACATACATTTATGCAGATTCTTCATTATTTAATTTCTTCTTATATAATACAGGCGATAATATTTGGTGGCAACAGCTTAAAGTGAAATGGACATTCAAAGTGATTCGACGCAAAATCGTAAAACGAAACCAATAGTCCCTCAGGGATAAAGCCCCTTTGGACTAATAATAATTGGTCTAAACTCTAAACAATAGTAAAAGTGTTTTAAAGAACTAATTATTGTTCTAAAGAACAAAATTATAAGAGACCTTGAACCATTTGTAATTTTTGTTTCTTCCGTTACTTTTAGTTATTCTTTTTGTTTTCAAGGTTGATTTAATGTATGTAACCAAATGAACTTACCCATTCTCAAACTTGAATTGCTAGAAAATATAGGTAAGTAACTTTCCTTTTGATTATAAGCATGTTATTCCCCCTTTCTTGCGCTTCTTAAATGCCATCAGGTTAACCGTGAATATATTATTCCCAGTATATCGAGAGCTGACTGTGCATATCTGGAAACAGTTTTTGGCAAACAAAAGTCAATAGTTTTAACGAATACCCTGCATAAATAAAAATCTTAAATTCCAAATTATTGTAGAGAAATAATATTTGAGATCCTTCTGCATCTTTATTGCTTTTTACAGAACGCTAACCTTTAGAATCTCTAGGCTAAGCTATGTATATTTCTAACACCAAAAGCATTTTCATATTCATTTCACGGACACCACAGGGAATTATTGTCAGTTCATCAAAATTTCACAATAGTTACTTATTTCTTGACTGTAAGAACATTACATATTCTTACACTCAGAACATTTCATATTCAGAACATTACATATTCAGAACGCGTTGCATTACACTATGTATTAATGAGAAACACTAACAGAAATTGCAGTGAAACCAATCACATCAAAAGAAAGTTGCAGGCCTTATTAGAAAGTCAAATTTTTTTTAAAGGAAATTGTATCTCCAATCACTATTAGTAAAGTATGCAAACGGTAATAGCATTAATAAAAAAGTCAAAGTGTGGGAATGGTAATGGCTTCACGCACATTAACAGAGCATATGAAAATGGTTTCGTCAGTCATTAAGAGAAAAATAAGTTTTAATTTCTTAAAATAATTTGATTTATTAATTCTCAGATTATATAAAAAAGGAATTTTCTTACCTATCTCTCACTGTGAATAAGGAATCCATTGTAAAAACAGCCAACAGCTATGAAGAGTGAAAATTCAGATATATCCTTTACTATATTCTACTGCTGTTGCTCTAGTCTGTATTCTACAAAAGTGTGTTTGTATTGCCAGTTCTGCTTCACACTTATGTTAACAGATAGGAAAGAAAGACTGGGTTTTAGAATAAACAAGCCAACTTTTTTTTTTCTTGCTGAATCACAATCTGTAGTTATTCACCTTATCTCGGTTCCATTTTTCTGAAAAACACGCATTTTAGAGTAAAAATAAAAGATAACAAACACAGGTATTTTACGTCTGAAGATTACGCTCCTTTTTGGGTTTGGAATTAACAAAAACTCAATACTAGTTGAGTCAGCATCCTGACTTAACTATTTCTTTGTGGTGGAACAGATATTTTCTTTTGCTGGCCTATTTAAAAGTAAATACCACTTAAGGGAAGGTGACATCACTTCCAGTGTAGGATTCTATCCTGTTTAAATCTTACTTAAAATTCGTACTTAGACTGAAAAGAGAATTATCGCTCCGTCTGTCAAAGTATAATAGAGTCCTAAGAAAGCTGTACATAGGCTTTTCATTAAATATTGAATTTAGTGCGTATAAATTAAAACATCGCAGCTTGCAAGTAGTATATAACAGAAACTTGGCTTTACAAATTAATAACGATTCGTAGCCTCTGATTGCAATATAACTCGCCTAATTAAGCTTTGGATCAAATTTATAATTGCGCGAATTCAAAATGGCTAATGCTGGAATACTAACTTAGCAGAGCTGGTCTAGAGAAAGTACAACTGGCGAGCGTCGCTGTCAATATTCTACATCTCAAACCTTGATACGGGAGTGCTTATACAGGATTTCTACTTAAAGCAGTACTTTCCTGTAATCTCAGGCTGATCCGTAATAGGCATGGTGAAAAAGATTCATGATATACGAGTAATATTCGCAGCGAATGATCTTGAAATAAAAAGAGAAAGACGAAATTGATCCTGTGGCCCGAAAAATATTACTTGGGGAGGATGAGAGTGAATATATACAGTAATGGCGAATGTAGGGCTTCTGAAACATCTCAAGGTTGAAAACACTCTGCCGTTAATAGCCATAACTCATATGCCTCCTGGTAAGAGCGAACGAAAAAGAGGAGTGACAGAATCATAAGTAAATAGGTCAGAGAGAAAATATTTTAGTAAATAAAAGATGATTTCATCCACACAACCTACCCTTACATGGACTCGTCGTTATATACATAGAAAGATGTCAATAACGGAGGGAGGAAGGGTACAGAGCAGTTTTCAAGGTAGACGTGATTTCTGAAAATTTAAAGAAGTTGTGCAGAAATTCCTGTGGTTTCTTACAGATGCAAATATAGGATTATGTACCAGAAATGATATTTTTCAGTTCCATCGTAATTTCAATTTCATTGCTTTTTATAGACTTTCTTTAGAAAACATTGTCGCCCCCTCTGATTAAGCTGCGTAACACGTAAATACAGTGTACTCTCGATTCTCAGGCTTATTCGGTTTGCGGGTTAAGGCCCGTGACCACTTCTGCGTATGCGTATGCGTTTCTTCAATCAGCGAACGAATTCACTTTGATTGACGTTTGCAATCCGGTCGATGTGCGGTGACGAATGACGTATTGATGGAGTTCAACAATGTTCAACTTCTATCCGTATGTCTGCGGAAGACGGGCGACTAAAACCCGCCGCCGCTCATATTCCTCTTTTTGTAACTTTTGATGACGTCTTTTACGCGTGAATACGGAAAATTCCGTGGATTCTCACTTGGAATGTGAACAAAATTCCTAGCCTGTCCTCGCAAAAAAAAAGGTGTACAGTGTGGTATCGCAAAAGTTATATGCTAAATTGGACATTTCACTTTATTTTGTAGCACTGAAAATTACAGAGAGCATTTATTTTTTTATCACCAAGTAAAAAATGCACAGAAGAAAGGCTTTGTTGCTTTCCTGTGCAGAAGATGTGTCGCTTTTTTCTTTCTTTTTTCCTTTTCTTTTCTTTTTTATTTATATATGTATTTATTAGGTACCCAAATTTAGCCAACAAAGCCACATGCTTATACATATTTTTAGAAGGTTCTTAAGTACTAACAAATTATAATTTAATTGAACTTTTTCTAAAATATACTGCATTTTTATGTGATATTTGTTTTTAAGAAATGTAACACATTGAATACATTGATAGTAAAAATCTCAAATATACTGTATTTTTGAAAAGGTTTATATGAATTTTTTTAAATTGTTTTGTTTATCTAATAAAATCTGGAATTCTTTCCCAATTTCAACACATAAGAAATATACTTAAATACACTCATGTCCATAAATTAAGGATAATTCGGAGTCACGCGGAAATCGAACTCTAAAATAAATATATCACCTGTAAAATCACGACACACATCTTCAAGAATCATATGCAAATTTTAGGAAGTAACCAGATGACACCGATGGTGCGTCACAATGACGAGAGTGTAAGAGAGTGATATATAAGGAATACAGGCAAAGAAGTAAAATTGTTCGCAGACGCTTTATAAGCATTTCAGTGCAATAACCGAATAGTTATGACACAAAGGACTCATTTGGATGATTTTTTACATAGTAGAATTATCGGCCGTCTGAAATGTGGGCGTACCCGACTGGAACTATCAGACGAACTTGGAATTCCTCAGAGTGTCATCTTTAGGCTTTGGGAACGATTCCAAGATGATGGTAATGTCAGTAGACGTTACAGCACAGGTCGCCCCAGTGTTAGAACGCCGAATGAACACCGGTATTTGGCAGTTACTGCCAAAAGAAACAGACGGAGCACAGCCTCAGACCTGTCTCGTCAGCTCTCTTCAGCCACTGGTACGACAATTTCAAGGCAGACCGTGTACAGACGCTTGGCGCAGATTGGTCTATATGCTCGTAGACCTGTCAGATGCGTTCCACTTACTGCAACTCACTGTCGCCTGCGGTTAGCCTGGAGTAGAGAGCATGCATTGTGGACACCGCAACAGTGGGCTTGTGTGATGTTTTCCGACGAGTCCAGGTTTAGTTTGCAGTCTGATTCTCACCGGACTTTCATATGGAGAGCTCCGGGTACCCGTTACCACCAAGAAAATATCATTGAACGACACCGTTACGGTGGTCCAGGAGTGCTCGTTTGGGGTGGAATTATTCTGGGTTCCAGAACTGACCTGCATGTTCAAATTGGAACCATGACAAGCCAAATCTATCGGGACATCATTCTGGAACAACATGTACGTTTGTTTCGGGGCGCCATGGGCGCATAATTTGTGTTTATGGATGACAACGCCCGTCCTCACCGTGCAAACATGGTAAGCGAATGCCTTCAGTCGGAGGATATCACCCATATGAACTTGCCAGCATTCTCACCGGGCTTGAATCCAGTAGAGCACGTGTGGGACATGCTTGGCCGACGAGTTGCAGCCCGTCAACCTCCTCCTACATGTCTACCGGAACTTCGGAGAGCATTGCTTTTTGAGTGGTGTAATATCCCCCAAGATCAGATCGATAATTTGATACTCAGCATGTCTAGGCGTTGTACGGACTGTATTGCATCGTCTGGGAGACATACAATGTATTAACAATCATACCAACCATGTAATATTGGTTTTTTGTAAATAGGTTTTTTTTTCGTAATTTGCTCCAGGAAAAAAAATCGCTAATTTTTTTTAATAATATCAAACATATAGCACCTTTTTTTTTGCTCTTTTCCTTTTGTTTAATAAATAAGCTTTACAAATAAGTCAAATTTGTTTTGCTTCTAACTCTTCCTTTGCCTGATTTTGCATTATCCTTAATTTATGGACATGAGTGTATGTTAGGAAAGTCTTCCAATTTTTATATTTGAACCTCAGTTCAATTAAAGTACTTGATTTATATTTGATTTCCAAAATAATATTTCCTCACAGAAGACTAGGTGCAATACTTTTAAAAATATAACATGTGTGAAGGATTAATGCATGTAACCAATAGATTTTTAGAAAAAATGTCAGTAGCATAACATGAGGAATGTAAAATGTGAAGATCTTTATAATGTAATATAATGCAGTTCATAATCATCTGAAAAAGAGCCCATGAGTAGTAAGACTGCTGAACACTGATAGTTAGGTTTATATCGTAACAAATGTGATTTTGGACACATTTTGTATAGCTTATCTGGTCTGATGGTATCTAAAAAATGGTAAATGAAAAAGTATTTGTACCTAATATTATATCTAATCTGCAAACAAGATTACTGTGGCTGTGGAGACTGACATGCCAGTGAAATTGTTACATGTCTTGTAGATAGTACACAAACATATCAGCTAGAGTACTCTATCAAGCAATATGAGGATAGGTACCATATAACCAAATATGCACATATTAAACATTTGTAATTATGTATTTTAAAGTTATAGACTTCCAATATGATTAAAATATATATTTCTGTAATAGATATCAGTCTTCTGTGAAACATACTTAGTTTGCTTAAATCTACTTCCAAAGTACTTTATTTTGATACAACCCATGGTTTAAAAAAATTAATGTTTCTGACATTCCAGAGCAGATAAAAGTATGTCATACTTAACTGACAAAAACATGTAAAATTAAAGTAAGGCAAAAATTAGCAGCTTAACATAAAATCTTGTGTCAGTTTTAAGAATTAACTGACATAGGTCCCTCTTCTTCAGTAAAAATGAAAAAAGGTTTTTATTCCTGGCTTTCTGAAAGAACCTATATCAGATAACCCTCAAAATTAATAAGAATTATATAAATTCTGCATCAGTCTAAGCCTTTTTGATTTATTTTAATCTTTAAATTCATGACCTGTCAAATTTTGAATTTTGTGACTACTATATAATTTTGAGAACCTGGGATCACAGGTGGATTTGTTCGAACAGCATTTCCAAGTTCTTCGATTACATTAATACTGCAATGAGCATGAAAAATCTACAAATTAAATTTATCAAAAGCTTTAGAAAGTGAAATCTAATGCACTAAGTTTGTTCTTTCTGTGTGAGGAAATCAGCTTTTTCATTACCATCAGTTCTACAAAGGAAATTAATCTGCTTGGCAATTACTCTGAATTGAAAGTTCCTTGAAATTTCTAAAGATGTCTGCAAATATAGCTTTGATATATATACAAATGAAATCTATTTAGCCTATTCTTAGTATCAGTATTATTAGGTTTTTGTAACATTAAATGTGGTAGAAAAAGTCCATTATGATATCTCCAGTGATGAAATGTACGAAGTTTGCGCGAGTCCTTTGTCGTGCAATTGCAAACCCCATGTTCTTTTTATTTGCTTATTACTTATTCCAGGGGAAAACATGTCTTGCATGTTGTAACCGTACTTTAACAAACATTAAATTTTACATTAAAACATGATGAAATATAATATTTTGGGATTTTTATTGAGATGGTTTTAATATGAAAACTGCAAATTATAGGAACATAGGCAGCAGATGTGTAGACTACAGTATACAATTTGTACTTCTTTACAAATTGTATACTGTAGTCTACACATTTGCATGCCCGGGCAAAATAAAAAATTAGAGGCATGCAATGGTGGTAGCTGTGTAAGGATCTTAAGTTTTACTAACGTTTATTTTATTTTAAATCTTTACTATCACTTCTTATTTTCTACTTCCGGCCAGAATTAAAAGTGTTAACTTATTTATGCAAAATTTGTCTGGCGCACGCCAAGTACTTAAGTTGTGGCTTTTTGCCAAGCGAGAGAGAGGAAGGAGTTAGTCGAAGCAGGCCGCTTACCTTAGAAGTTTTACTCAGTTGCTGGTTGCCTTCCAGGCCAGAGGTTTAATCCTCTTGATAATTTTTAAACGTATTGTAGTGTTAACAGTTCTCTGTACTACATACGGCTTCCTGTTAATATAAGGCCAATCTTCCACGTTTATTTATTTCAAAAGTTAAGTTAGAGTTTAGTTAATATTTTATATTCTTACGTTTAGACCACAAGTAGTG